AAATGTGTAATAAAGGGCTGTTCAGAGGAGTTTGGCTGGCTGGCCTTGAATTCTACTTCTGGAAAACTTCTGCATGCATTGTTTTTATGATGTTTTATTTTTTAATTGTATTCGCATGGCTAGACCAACCAGGTTACAATCAGGCTTGAAAATCAGGTTACAATGCATGCTTGAAAATATGCAAAATTTTTACTTTGCTGCTAATAATATTCCAGAAAATCCTGCGCCTCTCGGGCATGTCTGGACTGATTTGTTAGAAGGGGCGGAGGTTTTCCAGGGGTGGTGCATTACTACAGGGGTCAGGGGCATTCTCTCAAAAAATCAATCATTTCAAATATAATAAGTAGTATTCATAACTCAAATATGGAATACCAGAGTTTTCTTCAAGGGGATGCTGGACACCACTAGGCAGTGCACACAACACCCCTGCACTACACCGGTACACCCCCTGTTTCCTGTCATTTTCAGCTTGCATGCTTCGTTTTGAAGCAAATTACATCTGTGATCTCGCAAGTGGAACTAGCCAAGGGTGCTGGGTCAGAGTCAAACTCATGTGAACAGCTTCTAAGTCCTAATTATATTGATAATTATGTACACTTTAGGTTGGTAATGCACAGCAATTTGTAAAATATTTCACATTTTATTTAATAAAAATTAATTATATACATTGTTTTCCTGTTTATATTAACACCTTGTACTTGGACAATGTAACCATTCTAAGCCAAAGACATTTTATAAGAAACAATTATCAAGGGTATTCCATGATAAAATTATATTTAAAAATAACTGCTCTCCATGTGCATCTAACACATGATTCAATTCTTGCATTTACCAAGTAAACCCAGGGAATTTCACTTCTCCCTCCTCCCATAGAATTCACTTGAAGTGACTGGGGCATGCTAGCTATAAGTATAAATAGGGATATAAAAATCAATTAATTTAAATTTTACAAATGGAGCTTTTTGAATAGACCAATGCAAAAGTTTTATTAATTTGTTTAACCCATTATAGTGGTAATTACTCCATCTAATGCAAGATGATTTCACTCATCAAGGGGAAAATGCTGCCACTCAATATATTAATATATTCTCAGAACAGTTACCATCAAATTAAATAGATTTTGCTGGCAAAATATCCCAATTTTAGGACTATTCAATATTTATACACTATGGTAGAGTGGGAAAAAAAGGAAGGTGGTCGTTGATTTGTTGAGTCTTGTTGGGAGGGGGGGGGGGGTGTGTAAAAAACAGAATTATAACTGGTTTCAGAAAATATTTAACTACATATTAGTTGCCAAATGACATGAAATTACATTGATACTATTAAAACACTATAAATAAGAAATTAAGAAAAATATAGGATGAATTGTTGTAATAGAGATATATAATTTTAAGACAAATCATCTAAAGGAAGCATGCATTCTACTAGCTCTAATAGTATATGTTGCAAAATGTATTTTCTTCATAGTTAGGCATTCACATGAAAGAAGATTAGAATTGCATCTTGTTATATTGTCTCAAATATTTGGGGGGGGGGTCTCCATTATTAAGAGATTAAGAAAGGCGGTCCCAAGGCATTTTGATATAAGAATCTCCCACCCCACCCTAGGGTATAATGAATGGTCCCTTAATTAATTAAAGTACATGCCATCTTGCTAACTAGCTCTAACTGGCTGGGCACCTTGCCCCTTTTGTGATGTGATGGAAAATCTATTCCCTTACTTTACACCTGGGAACAAAAATTCAAATCATCTCTCCACCCTGATAATGTGCAGATGGTAACAGCAAGAATTGAAGCATGCAAGCTTTACTGGGGCGTACGTACTATTAGAAGCACAATTTGCACATGCTAATTTGCCAGTCATGATTTTAAACGTAATATTTCTTATCTCATATAGAATTCTTAAGGTCTTGTTTACATTTTACTGGAAGCAAAGTAAGATGCATCATGTCCAATAAAAAATCTGTTTTGAGTCATATCACTCATATGTCAGCTTTAGAGCTGCGAAGAAAACGTAAACAAGGAAGGAGCATACCGCACTTCCACTTCGTCTGTATTTAAAATATCAATGAATATAAATATTCCAACCATTGGCAGTTATCAGTGACTTTGTCAACAAGAGACTAATAACATCATATACATCCAAAAATATTTCCTTGAATCACTGTATATATTTCTTCATAAACTCGCTCCAATCGTCGCACAGCAGAGTCTTCGGAAGGGTAAACACCAGGTTTAATTAACATACCCAGTTCAAAACACTTGCCGTGTCCTCTTAGGCAAGCCTGTCCAGCTGGAGAACATCTGTCGTAATAGTAAATCTATTTTTCGCATATTTCAGCTGTTAATTTTGTTTAGCAAACGAACAAGTTGGAAGAACGGCAACTACATAGTTCCCATGTAATAAAAGTTGAAAAATTTGATTTCGAATACATTTGTAGCAAAACGAAGGAAACGTTTTCAAGAATAAACGCATAGTTAAGCCGCTCTGAACACTAAATTTTGGGGACACTCTTCCGTTGGCGGCCATCTTGGATTTTCATTTCGCGTATTTAATTTTATCGTTAATTTATTTAACACCACGATTCGTGGTGTTAATAGCCTGCGTGGCAGGCTCAATTGGTAAATGAGAGCCTGCAACAATCTCAAGGAAATTTGATAATCGCCCACTAATTACTATGATAATTTATTTCCAATCCAACCAATCATATTTTCTGAAATTCGTGTGCGTGATGCAGTGTGAGTAATAACTATAAATATACTTTAATTTATTACTATTGTAGTTCATATAGAGTGGCTCGAGAATTCAAACTTTTAAAAAATTGGCAGTTTAAATTACTTTTGGAATAAATAAAACAGAATTTACACCGGCGATGTCCGTTTGGTACATTAGTATGTGATACAATTCACTAGAACAAAACATTTTGACTTGATACTACAGTTTAGATGTCGTTACTCAACAGACTATTTTTATGTATTAATAATGAACGGAACTGAAAAATATATTTATATTAAATGGAAGACAATACCATCTTAGGTCCAAACATTACAATAAATTTCAAAATCATACATATTATGACCAACTATATGAGCGAATATATGTTTCAAAATTGCAACGGCTCACGGCTGAACAGTTAAACGTTTACAAATTGACATTAATAACAAAAACTCTTAACTATAAAAATATATCACAATACAAGCTAAATTGCACTGTAGTTTGTAGTCTGCTGTAAAACTCACAATAACCGATAAAAGCAATGTTTGTAGATCGATTCATAAATACATAAAGCGACATGTATTTAATAGGATACATAATTTGTCAAAATCAGTATTTTCAAATTGATTGTGTCACATATAGCATGACAGTTTATGTAAATTAGCATTTAGTATGATATAAAAGACTTGTTGTTGACAAGACTGTAGGATATATATATATATACGGATATTAAACGTATTTTACATGGTGTCAGGAGTGGGATACTATGGATAGCTTTCACAAGCCGAGTGCTTTAAGTTTTGACGGAAATACATCAGAAAATTGGAGACGATTTAAGCAGCAGTTTCAGATATATTTAGTCGCGTCGGGAAGCGAAGACAAAGACGACCCGATTAAAATAGCCATATTGTTAAATTTTGCCGGCGAAGATGCTATAGAAGTTTTCAATACTTTCGAGTTTTCTGCTGGCGATGATAAGAAATTGGATAAGGTTATCGAACAGTTTGAAAGGTATTGTAACCCCAGAAAAAATGTAGTCTTCGAGAGATACCAGTTCTGGAAAATTACGCAGAGAGATTCAGAGACGGTTGACCAATTTGTCACAAGATTAAAGAACAAAGTAAAATCGTGCGAATATACATCGGTTGACGATATGGTAAGGGACAAGTTTGTGTTTAGTATACAAGACTTAACTGTGAAAGAAAGATTGTTAAGAGAAGAGAAACTTACACTGGAAAAAGCTATAAGTATGGCTAGAGCAGCCGAAGCGTCGAAGGAACAGATTAAAGTCATGAATGCTAGGGCGCAGTCGAGCGAAGCAAATCAGTCGGTAAATGTTCTTCGATATGACGCCAATCAAGGAAAAGGGCAGATAGGTAGCCGCCGTGAAAAAAGTCAAAGAAAAGTGTGGATTCTGTGGTATGGTTCACGCATTAAGATCTTGCCCGGCATTCGGCAAAACATGCAACTATTGTAAGAAGACAGGACATTTTGAGCGTGTGTGTCGAGCGAAGCAACGACAACGTGACTCTAGACCGAGAGAAGTGAATGTCTTGGGGGAATTCGAAGACGGCGAAGTTAGCGAGGATGATTTATTGACATTTTCAGTAGAGTCAAATAACGAGGGCAGCTCAAAGAATGACTGGCATGTCCAGCTTAAGTTTGGAAAAACGGATTTGAATTTCAAATTAGATACGGGGGCAGATTGTAATGTGATTTCGCAATCGTCGTTTGAGCAATTGTCACTAACAAATACAAGAATTTTCAAAAATAAGAGCAAGTTGAAGATGTTCGATGGCCGTAAGATAACTCCGAAAGGAAAAGTCAGCTTAGAGTGCGAGTATAAAGGCAAATTTACCGTGTTAGACTTTGTACTAGTTGAACAAGATCTACCATCGATTTTAGGATTAAAATCCTGTCTAGAACTCGGGTTGGTAAAGCGAGTTTATAGCTTGGAAGTGGACCCACCGAAGATCGAAACAGAATTCAGTGACGTTTTCGAAGGTCTGGGAGAGATTAAAGATGTTCAGTACCAGATTAAGATCGATCCGGTGTCCATTCCAGTGGTGCATCCTCCTCGAAGAGTTCCTATGGCCCTCCGAAAGCCACTAGAAGAAGAGTTGCGTCGAATGGAGAAGTTGGGGGTTATTGAGAAAAAGAATGAACCCACCGCTTGGGTACATAGTTTAGTCATCGCCAGAAAAGCAAATAATAAAATTCGAGTCTGCATGGATCCTAGCGATTTAAATAAAGTGGTTATGCGAGAGCATTTTCCTATGCAGACCGTTGAAGAAGTTGTCAGCAGAATGCCCAATGCCAAAGTGTTTAGTGTTCTTGATGCCAACCATGGTTTCTGGCAGGTGAAATTGGCCAATGAAAGCAGTAACTTAGCCACGTTTAATACTCCATTTGGAAGGTATAGTTATAAACGATTACCGTTTGGAATAGCTTCTGCTCCGGAAGTATTTCAGAGTATTATGTCGAATATGTTTTCAGATATAGAAGGAGTCGAAGTTATCGTGGACGATTTGGTGGTCTGGGGAGAAGACGTGACGAAACATGACGAACGACTTCGTTTGGTCTTAGAACGCTGTCGAGATAAAAACCTTAAGTTGAATCCAGAGAAGTGTCGATTTCGTGTCCCCGAAGTAAGTTATGTTGGCCATGTTTTGAGTTCAGATGGACTGAAACCAGACCCCCGGAAAATTGAAGTGATTAAGGAGATGCCGCAGCCTACAAATTGCGAAGAGTTGAAGAGATTTTTGGGCATTGTTACGTATGTTGCCAAGTTCATTCCAAATATGGCACAGATAACAGCTCCACTACGTCAGTTGCTGGAGAAAAATGTCGAATGGGTTTGGGATCAAGAGCAAAGACAAGCGTTTACAACTTTAAAGGCAGCGATTGTCGATCCACCAGTCCTCAAATTCTTTGATCAGAAACAATCCGTGTGCTTGTCGGTTGATGCCAGCTCGAAAGGTATGGGTGCAGTGCTTCTTCAAAATGATCGTCCAGTAGCGTATGCGTCGAAAGCGTTAACTTCATGTCAGCAGAACTACTCACAGATTGAAAAAGAAATGCTTGCAATAGTTTATGGTTGTGAGCATTTCCATCAATACCTATACGGGCAACGCGAAGTAATCGTGGAAAGTGACCATAAACCGTTAGAAGCAATACTAAAGAAATCCATCCATCAAGCTCCGCTTAGATTGCAGAGAATGATACTTAGACTTAAACCTTATGCGATTAAAGTGAAATATACGCCTGGGAGTCAGTTGTTGATAGCAGATGCTCTTTCTAGATCACAGATGTCTGCACAGATAAACGATCCATCAGATGAATTTGAAGTCAATGTTCTGGAATCGGGTCAGATGTCTGAGACTATGTTTGAGAAGTTGGTTGAGGAGACCAAGAAGGATGCTGAACTTCAGCAGTTGCACAGAGTAGTCATGGATGGTTGGCCACAGACAAAGCCTGAAACGCCCTTAGAAATTCGACCTTATTGGAGTTACAGAGATGAAATAAGCGGTTATGATGGCTTGATGTTTAAAGGAGATCGTGTAATTGTTCCACATGTTCTTAGACCAGAAATGCTGGATCGGATACATGCAGCTCATTTGGGAATCGAGAAGTGTAAAGCACGGGCGAGAGGTTCAGTGTTCTGGCCTGGAATGAATAGTGCAATTGATGAAATGGTGTCAGAATGCAGAACATGTTTACAATTTCAGCGAAGGAATCAGAGGGAGCCGTTGATGCCGCAGGAAATTCCAGAGAGGCCGTGGTCAACCGTTGCAGCGGACATATTTTATTATAAAGGAAGAGACTATTTATTGGTAGTCGATTATTTCTCGAAGTATCCTGAAGTAACAAGGATAAATCACAAGAATAGTGAAGCCGTCATCTTGGCAATGAAAGAAATGTTTGCCCGTCATGGCATTCCAGAAAAAATTATAGCTGATAATATGCCTTTCAACAGCCTTAGATTTAGAGACTTTGCTAGAGAGTGGGAAATTGAGGTGGTGACAAGCAGCCCACACTATCCGCGTTCAAATGGGCTCGTGGAAAGAAACGTTCAGACAATTAAGCGTCTGTTGAAAAAATCAAATGATTCGAAACAAGATGCATTTTTAGCCTTGTTGGAGTTCCGTAATTCTCCAATTAGTGGTATGGAACAATCGCCTGCAGAACTGTTGATGAGTAGAAAATTGAGAGCTAAGTTACCAATTCCTAAGCATCTTCTTAAACCTAAGTCACAGCCAATCAACGATGTTCGCCAGAGATTGAGAGTACGTCAGTTGCGTCAGAAAGCAGCATATGATCAGGGAACGAAACAGTTATCCAGTTTACAACCAAACGAGTCGGTGAGGATTCGACAGGGAGGCGTATGGAATCCAGCCGTGGTCGTTGAACAACATAAATCACCTCGTTCGTACATTGTGGCAACTTCAAATGGAACTCAGTTACGCAGAAATCGCCAGCATCTAATGCCAACTAACGAACCACAAATGATTATTACACCACCAATGGAACCTGTCGGCGAAGAAGAACGTTGTTCAGGTATAGCTCCGAGTACCGTACGTTCACCAGTTCGTTCTCCAGTTATATTCCCGAGTACAGAAATAAAGGAAGAACACGTACGAACACCATTGAGAAGAAGTACAAGAGTTCGAAGGGCACCTTCCCGATTGATTGAGAACATCTAGTTAAGTATAAAGGAATGTATATATATAGTATAAGATGAATTTAGTATAATTAGGATATTTTAGAAACTTTAGTTCGGACTTGAACACCAGTTGAATTGTTTAATAGTTCGGAACTATGCATGACAGTTTATGTAAATTAGCATTTAGTATGATATAAAAGACTTGTTGTTGACAAGACTGTAGGATATATATATACGGATATTAAACGTATTTTACAGATTGGGTATATCTACTGTACTATTTAGAGAAATACCAACACGTGCATGGGTTTGTATCCATGCTCTTCGACTTGTCAAGGCAGATATCCAATGAGAAAACCTACCAAAACATTTCAACGATTTCCAGCTGTTCAGTTTTTAGTCTAAAACCCAAATTCACAGCACTCTTTCAAAAATATACGCTAATATATACGCTTTTATTGATAGCGTATAAACATTGCGCCACAGTGATTGATGCGTATTTTGGCATACTTTATGATTTCAACCAATAGGATTTTGAGTCCGCTCACGGCCCCGAAATACCAAATTTCCTTGAGATTGTTGCAGGCCTATATTCTATAGGCCTGCCACGCAGGCTATGGTGTTAAAAGCCAGCCAACAGGTGGGGAAATTGTCGTCGCTGACCAAATTTATCGTGGCCGCTTTCTTTTTGCCAGCACAAAATTGTGAAAACAACAGAAACACTAGCCTGAGTATTAGGCCCTCGGTATTAAAAGAGGGCCTGACACAATTCGCCTCTACAGCCATGTTAAACATCCGGCCAGAATCTGGATGTTATGTTGATTGGCTAAGAGACGATAAAACGCATCATGTGATTCAAACTGGAAATATATGACCAGCGTATGTAAACACCAAAAATGGAATTTGTAATTTTGCCAATACACTGTTAAAAGTGCTTTATTTGTGAAATTTATTTTCAATTAATCAAGCCTAGAAATGACAAAATAAGTACGAGTAGACGTTGAAGACGCTTTTGCAGCAATATTTTTCTCGGTATAAAACTAAAACTACATAGTCATAGTAGAAAGCGTGTCTAAATATCTCGCCGTAATGGTCGCCGTAGAACGAAAATATGTGGATGTCGGAAATTTTCAAATATTTAGTTCCGTATAAAGTTAAAGCCTTATTTATGAGTTTATTGCCGAATTGTTTTCCGAGACCTGCGCATGCGAGGATATAGTAGTCAGCTCTCTCGAAGTAATATGCAAACATCAGGCAGAAATTGAAGGCAATAGCCGCTGTGTCAGACGCAGTTGAAGCGAATAGCTGCTGTCTCCGAATAAGCTATTAACATGACACGAGGACCGAGGAAGAAGAAATCCTATTCAGAGTGCCGAATTTTGTCTCTTTAGACTCCTGGAAAAAGCCATCGAGCTATGGTTCCCCGAATGAGGCATAGTTTACGTTTGGAATTCGATCATGTGGATATTTCGACAAAAACATACCGAATTTTCTCCGTATTTATTCAAATTTATACAAAACTGTAAATAACGAAAATTGCGTATTTACATAGCGGACAACCGGAAATATGCTACAACCGGAAATAATTTTAATTGGCAGATATTCTGGGGGCGGAAAGGCCGTAGAGGTGAATTGTGTCAGGCCCTCTTCAATACCGAGGGCCTGACACTCAGGCTACAAAAACACAGATTTCGCTACCCTGTTTCTCGTACTGCAGCAGAGGGAAAACAAGAGAAAGCTAGCAGACGTAAACGTTAATAAACGTTAATCAAGAATACAATTACTTGTCATAATCGTTAAATTAGCAGTCAAGAATTCTTCGCTGAAACATGGCCGAAAATGACGTTTCTTGCAAAATGTGTGTTTTCTATGGCAAATAACCTCGAGTATGAACTTAATATTGATGGAATATTACGTGAAATTTGTAGTACATGCGTTTGTTGTCCTGGACAAAGTATAAATATTTGGTTTTTGAGTGATACTGTGCGCCAACGATCATCGTCAAATTTCAGTATGTGAGGTATTTTGCTAAAATTGCTTGTTTTTCACCTTAATTTTCTCATATATACAAGTTCTGCCAATGAAATGTGATTAGGTCAGAAGATGTGCTTTTCTTTCTAGTTTTTGTTAATAGAATGTAAAATCGCCTAAAAAATGAAGAAAGTATCGAATTTTGGCAACTTTCATGTGCAAGTGTGGTTTATACGAAAAAGGCGACTCAGAAAATGAGCATCAGAATGAACATTTTGCCCCGTATTTTGCTATAACAGTTTTAAAATATTATTTTAGGTTTTCAAAGTATTGGAAAAACATATAAACATAGCAATCAGATTTTTCTATGACCCTCATTTCGAAGCGCAAACTTTGTATTATTTTTAAACACAATTTTCGCTCGTTCAAAATCCTATAAACACGAATTTTGTCATGTTACAGGTTGTGCCAACGAAATATCGCTGTTTTACATTAATAAATTTCAAAGCATTTTTAAGTCGGTATTAAATTTTTTGACTTTGTAAAAAATTTAGTTTTAGTATTTTTGGTTTGAATTTCACATTTTATTCAAGCTATCAGACGACATTTTACAAGGAAATTTTTTGCTTTGTTTTGTTTCGCACTGA